TTTGACAAGTGAGAGTATTCATTTATTTGTTATATTTTACTAAAATATAACAAATAAATGAATACTCTCATATATATTTATTTTAGTTCTTAATATATATCAATATATTAAGAACTAAAAGAAAGCTAATATTATATTTCAACATAAAATTTATATAACTCGTCTGTTTAGGATCTCTACATAAAGCTTAAACCATCGCAAAAAATTCTAAGAAAAAATTTACTTTTTTTTTTAAAAAAAGTCTTTTTTGTCAAATCTAGAATGTTGCCTTCTAAAATTACAGACAAAAGTCTGTAATTGGTTGTATATCAATATACATCACATTAATAATATCATCATTATACTGTTAATTGTCTATTTAGATTTTTTTAAGTTATGAATTGAATGCAGTTGTTAATATAACATTTTTTGTATATGGTATGTCAAAATATTTATGATATATCAAATATTTCATTAGCAAAAAAAAAAGTGTTCAAGTCAATACTTTTAAGCAATTTAAAGGTTTGTTTCAACCTGAATACAAAAATCTTTTTTGTGATCAAGTTGTTTTTATTCAATACTAATGAATAAAAATAAAAGTCACAAGATACATTTTTATGTGATAATTAAAAAATCTCATTATTCTCAAAATAATAATTCAATATTTTTACTGAATATGAATATGAATATAATATGAATAAAAATTTTTACTGTATAGTATGAATTAAAATATAAAGTTTTGTTTTTAGGGAGTAAAAATTTGTTCATAATAAAAAATATTAGTAAAAATCTCATACTACACCAGAATTTACATAAGTTCAAAAATCTTTATTTTATATTATCTTTGACTAAAGAACATTTTTCATTTTCAATTCTGTTGCAAAAAATTTTGTTTAAAAAAAAAGGGTTAATTTTCAAATTTTGATTATTGGAAAAATTCGATTCCAGCTGAATTCAAAATAAATTCATAATGAATATTTAAAGATGTTGTATTTTTCATTTATTTTTATAATATCTAATGAATAAAATTAATAATTTAATGTTATCGTCAAAAAAGAAAATTTTAGCATGATGGATGGGCAACAAAATATCAAACTTTGATCAAAAACAGACAATTTACTTATTTATTATAAAGTTTTTTTGTCTTTCTAATTTTTAACATTTGTTTTTTGTTTTTTTTTAATTTTTTAAAAATTATAGTTTTAATTAATATAAAACTTTGATGTCAATATTTGCTCCTAAATAATATTTAAATTGCTCATTAACCTAAAATCAATTATGAAAATTTTTTTCATTTCTCCCAGCAGCAAGAGGCAAAAATTCTGCCTCCAATTTGGCTGCCACAGAAGCAGAAGCCACTAAAGATGAAAGTCAAAACATTTTGCTGCCAAAAAGTTTTTTGGAAGGCAAACACTAATAGTTGCTAAGAAAAGTAGATGGGAGAAGATTATTAACTCCATTTTAAATATATGGTAAAAAAATTAAAACTACATTCAGCTGTTAAATTAAAGCTTATAAACATCATGTTAAGAATAAACAAGTTTGTCTGTAAACAAAGTCAAAATAAACAATTTCTCAAAAAAATTCTAAGTAATGCATAAAGTTTAATTTATTTATTATTTAATTATTATCATAATGCAGGATAAAAATATTAAAATGCAATCAGTTGGAGAATAGGTAAATTAATAAAAAAAAGGCCAATGCTGATACCGATTCCAATTGTGGTCTATTAAGCCAATGTCTGTGCTGAATCATCAGTTTATCACTAATATCTATACATACACACACACACATATATAGATATATATAAATTATATAATACATGTACAATTTTGTATATATATGCAGGCTTCGGCAGGAGTAAATGAGTGCACAAGCTATAAATAGCCCGTCTAAACCCGTCTTCGCAGGCTACGCGGGCTGCCCACCTAGATAGTCTTGCAGTGGCTTTTTTGAAAAATTAAAATTATTACGTCTTGATGATTTTTTTTTTTATTCTGAAAGTTTATTTTGTTGATTCTTTATGCCAGGTATAGTAAAAATTTTAATTGTAATAATAAATGTTTTTTTAGCAATAAAAAGACAGAAAAACAATTTGCTAAAAAAAAAACAAAAAACCTAACATTTTTTTTTAAATAATTTTTTATACATAATTTTTATTTAATTTAGTTATTAGTTAAATAATAAATAAAAAACAATATTCAAAAGTTAAAATATAATCAATCGTTCTAATAAAACAACAATATATAAAAAACTGTTTTACATCAAATAGTTGTTTTATAAAAACCAATAATCTTAATTATTTTATTATGTTCATTCATTTCTCTTCTTCTTGGTGAATGAAAATGAAATCGTATATAAAAATTTCTACTATCTACTACTATTAACAAGTTGGAGAGTGAAAAATAATTTAAAAAGACTTTGGTAATTAAATTTCGAATAGTAATAGGATAATTGTAAATATGAGATGATAGTTTTTTGAAGTTACACTGCAGTTTTTATCTTTCACTCAGAGTTATTAGTGTGCGCTCTACTTAGTAAGCGCACACTAATAACTATGAGTTTTTGTTATTATGTTTTTGTTTTGGTTTTGTTTCTTGATTTTTATTCAGACTTTATTCTTTTATTATCTTATTATTATTAGACTTATTATATTATTTTATTATTCTTTTATTATCAGACTTTATTTTTTTATCAGTTGTATAATCTGATATTTGTTGAGTTTATTCCAGATATAATCAAACCAATAATTTGCAAGCAACGCAAAAAATGGCAGAAAAACAACCTTTGCAACTATAACATTTCTTTATTCAAACATCTTGATGTTTGCATAAAAAAATTTGTAATGAATGCAATTTGCAAGATCTATTTGACTATTAATATATTGTCTATTAATATATTAAAATAATGGAATGAAATATAACATTTTTTATTGCGCTTCTTTAGTTAATTCATTTTTCTTGTGCTTTGTAAATTAAATTAAATTTTAAAAATTTAACAGTGATATTTCTAAGCTATAAAGATTATATTTACAGGATTATATTGATTATAGAGACAATTATATTGAAATCTTTTTTAAAATAAACCTTGTACTAAAGAGTTCTATTCTTTTACAATTATTTTTCAACTGTTTAGACTAAAATTTTAATTATTACTATCGTTTCCGTTTAATTTCCTATCATACTCTTTTATGAACTCGTAATTGATTTTATATTCTTTTCAGAAATTAGGAGAAGATATATGTTATGTTTATGTGATATGTAAGTTAAAATTTAAGAAAATCTAATATTTAATTAATCTAAGAGACTTAGTACAAATAGATTTTTTAATAATCTGGTATATATACTTCTTAAATATATACTTCTTAAATATATTCTTATATAATATAGGCGTGTATAAAAAAAAGTGTTATAAATTAAAAAAAAAAAAAATCTTTTTTACATTCATTTATGAATAGAACCAATAGAGGGTTATTAAATGCAGTATTATTTCATATATCAGTTTAATTGTCATAAAATATATTTAAATGTATTAAATATAGTGCAAGTATAAAAATGAAAATAAAATATGAAGAAATCATATAGTATTATTTATATACAAAAAAAATATATATAGTTACAAATTATTTTTAAGTATTCATTTTAAATAAATTAGCCCAGAATATTTTCAATTTCAAAATCAAAATTTTTTCGCTTTCACTGGTATCACTTTCACAATATTAGCATATTGCCAATTTTTCAAAAAAGAACCAAGAAGTTAACGTAGAAGAGTACAGGTAAATATGCACTACTTTAAACAACTTTAAAGTATGGCAAACTAGTTTATCAATCAATTAAGAAAAATGTGTGATTATACAAAAAAGAAATTGTCTTTATTAACGAACAGTTCTTATTGTATAAGTTTAAAAATTTCCAAAGAATACTGAAAATCCGGACTATTATGTTAAATTCTTTTGCAACACATGCATATTTTGCCTGTTTTTTAACATACTAATTGTTTATCTTTTAACATAGCACAGAATAATACGGAACTGTTATAGCTGTTTGAAATAACTTGTTTGATTTTTATTTTACATCTGAAAATTCAAAAATTAGTTTAGCATATCCTGAATGAAATATTTTCTATATTTTGTATATATATGCATATATGAACATCATTGTGATCAACATGATCATCATAATCATCATACCCATCATCATCACCATCATCATCATCATCATCATTATCATCATCATCATCATGATCATCAACAGCATAAAAGCGGAAAGCTTGACATGTTTGCGTTTTTTAACTTGTAAAACAAACAGTTTTACAAAATTATATCATTTGAAATGTTTTCAAAAGAATAACTAAATAAAAACATAAAAATGTTTAACTTTATTTTTACCAAACATTTATATTTTGCAGGGGCTTTATTTCACCCGTGTAAACTGATTTGCACAGGTGCGGAGGTGGGCGTGGGCTATAGCCTGCCATTCCTGCCAAAGACTAATTGTGTGTGTAAAAAATTAAGTTACATCAATATCAGACCTTAATCAGCAGTAGTTCATATATAAAAGTATTATTATTATCTTCAATAGTTTTGATTTGTTTTATAAATACTCTGATGTGTACAAACAGCTTAGATGATGATGCTAAATAAGAGTTACAATAAATGCATCTATTATTAAATATCAACCAAATTTTCTCTAACAATTTATTAATCGTTTCTAATAAAAGTTTTTCAAAAATTATTTTTTATAAAATTATTTTTACAAAATTGTTAAAGTTATAATGAGGAAAAATGAGCAAAATGTTTCAAACTTATAGACATTTTTGACCTATTAACAAGAAATCTTTTAACGCATTATGAATATTTAGATATTTCATGTAGACAAATTATTCTGTTTGTAAATAAAAAAGACCTACTTATGACATATGTTTGAAAGTGTTCGAGATGTTTTGAGTTTAATTGCTGTTGAATTATGTAACTATGACACCTATATGACTCATATTTAATTTTCAGACAATTTAACTTTCAGACAGTGTCTTCCCGTTGGAAAGTTTGGAAATGGTAGCTTTCAATGTATGTTGCAGTATTACATGCATTGTGTTGGACGAATACCTGGGGAAAAAAAGGATATTCCAGTTTGCCACACCCATGTTGTTCCAAAACCAGGTTTTTTTTTTAATTTTAACTTAATTTTTTTTTAAGAAAAGTACTATTGTTTTAATTCTATATATATTTGAAACTGACAGATAAAATAATTTTCTTGTAAAAATAGTAAAATAAAATTAGCGAAAATTTATGATAAATGAAGTAAAACTTTTTTTTTCGGCTTTTTTTTAGTTTTTTCATGTTATTCATATTTGTCTATTTACGCAGTATTTTCTTTTAAATCCAAGATGGGTCGTACAATGTAATTTGCGAAGTGCGCCATTTTGTTGTTTTAATGAAAGGAAGAATATTTAAATTACAAGTGCTTGATGATAGTAAAGTTCCATATACTCCGGCTGAAATCTACAAGTAAGTGTTTATAGTCAATAAAAATTTTTCATTTTGAGAGTATAATTGAAATTAAAATTTTAAATTAAATTCAGCAAATTTTTGTACGTAGGAGTTTTAAATGAAAAAATAATAAATAATAATTTTTTATTTAGTTTTTATTTAAAGTTTTATAACTAGTGGAACATACATAGAAACTTGAAAAAAAAAAAGGTTCTTTTTACCGTGAAAAATCAAAGTCTTTAGAAGTTCTTTAACTAGTTTATGTAAGGCCTATATTGCTGAAACTAGATTACTATTATCTAAGAAAATAGAGAAATTTAATTAAGCTAATTCTCCTTTTCACTATGGCAACCCTGGTCACTTTCTATGTTATAGAAAGTGACCAGGGTTGAAATTTAATCAGGGTTGGGTTTAATAAAATATAGCTGGGGCTGTATGAATGTTGATACATCCTAAAGCATATTTTTTTATTTGTGATTCATGTTATATATATATATATATATATATATATATATATATATATATATATATATATATATATATATATATATATATATATATATATATATATATATATATATATATATATATATATATATATATATATATATTCATGTACATTTAGATCTAAACATCATGATCACCACCATCATTATCATCATCATTATCATCATCATCATCATCATCATCATCATCATCATCATCATCATCATCATCGTCATCATCATCATCAACATCAACAGCAGGATCATCATTAAATCATCATCAAACTTTAGCCTTTCTCTTTTATTATTCTGTTAATATAATAATATTAAATATTTCTCTTATATAAATAATTTTGAACATCTTCTTTCCTTACATAAAGCTTCGATCCCCACCACGTCCCTGGTAGTACCGCGCTCAACTTGTTTCTCCACGCAGCGGCCTTGTTCATCAAAGTTCGTGTTTCGGAGTTATAGAGTTGAGAGAGGGTTATAACCACAATTAAGTAGCCTCCTTGTCTGTAGTGGCCTTCTTGGCCTTGGGGAGGTGAAATAACAAAAAAAAAAAAAAAAAAAATGCTTATTCATACAGTATGTGACGCTATCTCTTCAATTTGATTTACTTACCACTATCATTACATACCCAAATCACTTAAATCTTCTTTGACAAACGTTGTTTGGTACAACATTTTTTCTAATCTCTGTCTAAGATTATGGCACTTTGTCTTGTCAGAGTCATCCCATACATCATCTTCTCTTTCGGCAAATACTACACTATATAAGTACTAAAGTTTGTGTCTAAACATATAGCAAAAGTATAATATGTTTATATCCATATATACACATATTATGTATGCATACAAGGCCTATTCTAGGAAAAAAATTTGGGCAGCGGTAACCCCTCCTTGCATAATTTAGAGGGAAAATCGACATCTTTTTGCAAAAAAAAATTAAAATATTAACCATAAAAAATGTTGAAAAAAAGAATGAAAAAAAGGTCTTCAAGTTTTAATTTGGGCAGGGCCCAAATCGACACCAAAAATACGATTGATGCTGTTGAAAACAGTCTAGAATAGCCCCTGGCATAAATGTGCACCTTACATAACCTCCTGGTTCCAAGCATGTGTGGAAGCTTTTATTTCTTCTCTTTAGTTTTAAATCGAGCCTCATTCTACTCCATATTTTTCACCATCTTAGGCAGTTGTTTCATCAAACCGTAATCATTTTTTTCATCTTTCTTACAAGAACATCTTTCTCAAAAACTTTCTTTTATTATATATATATATATATATATATATATATATATATATATATATATATATATATATATATATATATATATATATATATATATATATTTGTGTATATGTATTATATACATATATATGCTAGTATTTAATAATTAGTAAATGTACGCATAAGTTTATAATGTATAAAGTATTATAAATTTTTTTGTAGCCCCTGCTATCAGCTCCTGCTAAATCTTATAATTTTGCTAGGGATGAGTTTGCAAAAAGTCTTATTTTTAGCTGGGGTTGATAGCCGGGGTTAGCATAAAGCTCAGCAGATTCAAACTTGCATTTATAAAATTCAAACTAAACTTTAAATATTTAATTTATAGTTCTATTTAAGTTTGTTTTTTTATTATTTAAAATTAATGACAACATTGAAATATAAAATTACTACTAATGTATACATACAACTATGTATACATACCACTAATGTATAAATGCAACTAAGTTTAAAAAGTTATTTATAGAACAGGTTAGACTTACCTTAGTTATTGTAATTGAATTTATTCCTATACTTTTGTGTTGTTTCATGCAATTACCAAAACAACATGTTGTTTTGGTAATTGCATGAAACAATACAAGTATTTTAATTTAATTTTATCTTGTATTTTACAACATTGTTTAATTACAACTAATTTCTTTTTTCAGTCAGCTTTTGATCATTGCTGGTATATGCAAAACGTCTGGAGATGGCCTTTCTATTGGCTCACTGACATCAACTGATCGTGATTCTTGGTATAAGGTAAATTGTATTTATCATTTTATGCTGCAGACTGTCATGTTTGATGACATTATTGAATATTTTTATCTATAATAATATTTTTATGGTCTAAATTTGTTTAGATAAGACTTTATTTTTTATATATTTGAGAGTTAACTAGATGTTTATAAGGTTTAATTTGTTGAATATCCTACATTAAATATGTTTGTTTTTACAACAATTTTTGATGATGATGACGATGATGATGATGAATGATGAATTAATGTCTAAATATTTTTGTCTTGCTTAAAATTATGATTAGAAAAAGATTTGTGTGAGCAGCTTTTTTTGTTTGGTAACCTTTTACTTCAAAAGAAATTCATACATACACAATACACTGACCAGGGTTTGAAGAGCGGTGTCAGACAATAATTTTTTCCAATAACTTAACAATCATTTTTTCAATAAAAATAAACAGTGGTTAGTTTCCCCCCTCAAATAAGTCTCAAAAACAGTCTGGGCAGTGCTGATGTCCAACACTTATTTCGACCTCTGCTGACTATAGTATATTTTTATAAAATTTATACATTAGCTGTAATATTTTGTTATAGGCATATACAAATCTGTGTGAATTGGATATTCAGAATAGAACTAATATTTCTGTTATCAATGAAGCTGCATGGGTAGTTGCATTTGATGATGTAGAAACTTACACTATCCAACAGGTTTTCAATCTTTTTATATTCATTTTTGTCAAATTTCTTTTAAAGCTTTGTTAACTCAAATGACTAAAATTAGTTTTTGATATTTTTTGCCTTTTAAATTTTGGATTATTTTGATTAGTATAGAGCAGACCTTGTTTTAAAGCGTTAAGCTGCTAACAATTTATGTATGCATTAAGCACTTTTCATAGGCCCAGAGCAATTTCCATTAAGAAACTTTTTATCAGTTTTTAACTTTTAAGTTATTCTATAAGCAGTAAGATAAAAGAAGTTATGACAATTATGTAAAAAAGTTAGTTACAAAAGTTTGAATGACAATTATGTTAAATAAGCATTATTAAAAAAATCAAATAAAATTAAAAACTACAATAACTTAATCTCTATTAAGCTAATTATTTTATCAAAATATTTAGTAACAGAAAACAAAGTTATTTATAGTTGTTGACAAATTTTTTTTTTTTTACATTATCAATCCTTTAGCTATTGAAAGCAGCCCAAAATAAAATTTATGCCATTAAAATTTTCCAGTTAAATCTTCCGTAAAAATAGTATAATTTTCAGAAATTCCATAAAATGTTTTGTTTAGAAAAGCTGTTTTGTTGTAAACCCAAATTCTTATTCATAATTTTATTATTTTAATAACTATTATTAATAACTGGAATTTTAATGTGAAAATTATATATAAATAGGTAGTTCAGTTTAGGTAGTTAAAAAATATACTATATTTAAATCTTCTTTTTAGCAAAATAACATAAATGTTTTAATTTTATGTAGAAAAAGGTTACAGTCACAAATATAATAAAATAAGAAAAAACATTTATAATTTTTTATTAAAATAATATCATAAAGTAACATAGTTATTTAGACTTAGTTGGTTCAACTAAATAATAACAGTTAACTTAAAATATTTTATTTCATAAATTTTTACAGTTTAAAATTAGAACACAATTTTTACAGTTAAAAGTTTTACATAATATAAGAACACTGCTTCAAAATGTTTGTTATTAGTATGAAAAGTTAGTTGTTTCTTAGTTAATTTCCATACTCTATATCAGTATGCCATTTTTTAAAGCATGGTGATGCACAAAGACCTGGTTTGCCTGAACATAAAGAGGAAAAGGTCTTGACATTTCTTGAAAACTTTCACCTTCTTAGAACATACATAGCATCTTGGCTGTGACTTTTTCCAAATTGCAGTAAAAACTATTGTGTCAGGAAAATCTCTCTTTAAGCCTTGATGTGTCACCATTTTCTCATTCTTTTATAAAATCAACTAAATTGTTACCATTAAATACCAAAGATACAGAAACATCATATTGAAACTTTAAGAGTTTATATGTATAAGTTTGTAAAAATATGTATAAGAGTCTTAAAACAAGACAATATGCAGCCAATGAAATAGTTAATTTTCTATACCATTTCATACTTTTTTTGGCAATTGAATAAGGTTTGAACATTTGACCGTATTTGTCAACTTAACCCAAATTATATTTGTACTCTACAATACATGTTGGTTTTATTTTTACTAAGAGAGGTTTCATCATGTTGGGTACTAAGCATACAAAATCTTTTTTATCTTTGTACTTTAATATAGAAGTGGGCCAAAGCAAAATGCAGCAGTTTCATTATTCAGAACATTTGCATTTTTTACAACTAGTAGAATTTGATTTGATTCAATTGTTCCACATGCTGTTGTTCCATAATGGTGCAGAAAGTGGAAAAGCTTACATGAAGAATACCGATTATCCATCCAAATAGTAAAACATTTACTCAGAAGTGGCAACATTATGTATACAACAATTTTTTCAGTATTATTAAAGCTTAAACATTCTTCTGGTTGTTAGATATCAATAGCATCAGCTGGACTTTGTTTTTCAGAATAAATTTTGAAACGATACATGTATCCAGAGTCTTTACATAGGCAAAATAGTTTTATTCCAAATCTTGCCCTTTTAAAAGGAAGATATTGTTTAATGAGTAGTCTACCTTTCCATAGTAACAATGACTCATCTACTGCAATACACTGATTTGGGGTATAAACACTTTGAAATCTCGATTTGGATCATTAGGGCTTGATAAATTTTGGTCATCATTTATATGAAAAGACTTCAATAATGAATTAAAATGGTTATGGGACATAATTGTATTAAATACAGGTGTTTGAAAATTTTTTACTGTTGACCAATACAAATGTGTAGCAGGTTTATAAGCTAAACCATTAATTAAGATCAAAACTTGAAACTTTTTTATTCCAGAAAAACTTGTTGGATTCCAAAAAGGAACATTGGAATGTCTTGGTATATTTCTGCACGTTTCAATATATTGCTGAGCGAAAAGGTTAGTTTGAACAACCAAATGATTTAATAAATCATCAGTAACAAATAATTTGTAATATTGGTCTAGAGTCAGTAATCTCAAAATTAAACTCAGGTTGACCTAGGAACTGATGTAGTGTTGGTAATTCACCCTTTGCAAGCTTCCATATACTGTTTATAAAGTTGGGACAAGACCATAGGTTGCTGACTTGTTTTTTATTTAGTATATGATTTCTATAATATTCTTGTTGTCTGCATCTACAATAGCGCAATCTTCATCAAAATTGTCAATATTTATTTCAATATCTTCAACATTAGTACAATCTTCATTAAAATTGCTAATATATAATTCAACCTTATTGTGAGAACCATCACTCATATCTTGTCCACCCTCAACGTCATCATTGCCATAATCCAAACTACTTAAGTAATTTATCACCTCTTGCAAAGAGTAAATTTTTTTTATTGAACACCATTTCTGAAAACAAAATAAAATAAAGCTGTTACAGTTTGGCTATTTAAATTCTTATAATTTGGCTAAGTGGTTTAAAAATAAGTTAGGTAGCCAGAAATATCTGGTGGACATTTTACTACAAATATTTATACCAACATTATAAGAATGTCTATGTAACACTGCTGAAATATGCTGAAATAAAAATAATACCAGCATGGTATTATTTTTATTTTCAGGACTCGGAAATAGTTTTTTATGGATTTTTAGGCATTTTTATGGCAGTAGTTAAAGAGTTCAACGAATTGTAAAAAAAAAAAAATTATATAATAAAAACTTTTATTTATCATCTTACAAGCATAAGAATATTTGCACAACTTTTGATTGCAAAAAAAAAGTTATTTATATTTTTATTTAATAACAAAAAGTAAATTAATGATAAAAACTTAAATTTAGTTTTATCTTTTTTTTGTATTATGATAATTTATTTTTATTTTTATTTTATTTTATTGTAACATTTGATTTTTTTGATTAAAAAATTATTTAAGCTTGAAGCAAAGATCACTATAATATAATTTAATTCTTATAAAAAATATGATTTTATTCAAAGTTAATTTAATAAAATAACTTTATTCTGATAAAAAAAATATAATTTATTTTGATTTAAAAATATATATAATTTTTATCTGATTCAGAAAAATATATTTAAAATGTTTATTAAAATTAAAGTTAATTCTTGGGTTTAACTTAACTATCAAATTTATTAAAAAATATTAAAAAATATTGTTCAATATTTAAATTTTGTTTATTCTTTAAAAAAAAAAGCTCATTTTTATAACAATTGATCTTTTTTTTTTTGTTTTCCTTCCTAAACATTTTTTTCAAAATTCACTTAAAATTAAAATTTTAAAGAAATGTGTTAAAATTAACAGTTGCATCAAAATTTTTACAAAACATAAGTTAAACTTTTTTTATGACACAAGTTAAAGCAATTATTTTTTAATAAATAAAATGTACAAAGATATGATTTTAATAAATGATGTTTGGAAAAATAATCTTTGCTTTCACAACAAAATCGCTAATAAGATAATAAACTTTTAATAAATAAAGTAGGGGAGACCGGGGCTAGTTGGCAGCAGGGGTAAGTTGACGAATTGTGTTTATATGCAAAGTCTTTCATCAAAAAGTGCCAATAATTTCAGGAAACCTTCTTAGTTGACCATTTCATCTTTCACTGTAGTATTGTGGGGATTTGCGCATGCGCATAAAAGATATTGTGATTTATGTGTTTTTTCCACATTTTTGTAACTTTTACTATTTCTTTATTTTTTCGATTTTTAAAAGCAATTTCTTCAAGTACACGTAAACTTGATTTGAGTTATATCTTGCATGGTTCAGTAAAATCTGTCCAACCATTATTTTTTATTTATATACGTTTTTCTGGGAATGGTAGGGGAGTTTGTGACCAAATAGCTGTCGGAGTTAGTTGGCAAAATTTTGGCAGGGCAATTTGGCTGTATATATCAACTAAACCCTGTTGCGATTGGACATAAATTTCAACTTTTTCTATAACTTTTGATTTATTTTTTTAAAATTCGATTAGATAGATAGATCACATATATTACATGCGAAACTATAAAAGAAAAACAAAGAGGGCTATAACTCCTCAAAATGTTATAAAAAATGCTGTTGATGCTGTTTTATTAGAAGGAAAATCTATACGAAAAACAGCCTAAGACTTTAATATCCCTGAAAAAAGTTTGTCCTGATATTGCAAAAAGCAACAACGTCATGGTCAGCAAATATCAGGTTGCATAAAATCTAGACAGGTCAGTATATATATATATATATATATATATATATATATATATATATATATATATATATATATATATATATATATATATATATATTGTATATAAAAATTATGTTAGTGCTATTATTTACAGAGTGCTCAATGATCTTAAAAAACATATAAGTTATATTTTATAACTAAGTATTAGTATGTGTTATAACACATACTAATACAATGTATGTGTGTGTATAACACATACTAATATATATTAGTATGTGTTATATACACCCACATATATATATGATTATATATATGGATTACAGAGCTCATAGAGTAAAAACCGAGTCAACTAGCCCCGGTCTCCCCTAAATAAAATAAAGTATTTTTTTTTTATTTGTTACTCACTAATTTTTTTTTAAATAAAAAATCATTTTTAATTGCAAAGCTGCAATTAGAAATCTAAAAAATAGTTATTTTAAAAAATTTAATATATTTTAATTTATTTATACAAATGTCGAGAAAAGAAAGGAAATTGTTTATATCAAACATTTTTTAAAATGTAATTTAAATTTTATTATTTAATACAAAAAAAAAAAAAAAATTAATAGAAAATAAACATTCTCTAATAGTAATAATAAAAATCCAGTTAAATACTTGTTTTGTGTTAATTGATATTATTGCAGTAATTTAAAAAAGTTAATGCTTTAAACTAGGGATGTACCGAAGCTTCAGCTTCGGCAATTTTGCCGAAGCCAGGTCAATTTTTTGACGAATCTTTGGCTTTGGCAAAAAATTTTAAGTAATTAAAGTTATAAGCTACTGTTGTACAAGTTATAAAAATACGCTAATTGCCAGTGTCTTATTAAGTTATAAATTCAGGACTACAGAGTTAAAGTTGGAGTCTATACCATATACTTAGTATTATTTACTCCCAAGTGTCTTGTTATGGAGGGGATAATAATAAATAAGTAAAAATATTTTGAAAATTAAAAGTTTTTAAAAATAAAATGGAAAAAAAACCTTAATTTGTATTTTGTAACGAATTCATATTAATTATTGTGTGGGATTACCGCAAATAGAACAAAATTTGGTTTCAACATTTGACCTATAAACCTTAGTAATTTCACTTTAAAGAAGATTAAAGATACGTTGCTACTATTTTAAATTGTGTGTATGTTTAATTTTTTTAAATTTTATTTAACCATATTAATAAAAATTTACAAATTTTCATCGTAAATTTACAGAAATTGGTTAGGTGTCACTTATATAGATACAAACTAGTCAATGGAGTGACACATAAAAAACATAAAGTTCTCAACAGCAAAAAAGGAAGAAAAGCAAATGAAATATAAATGAGGAGAATAAAAAAAGAAAAAAAAAAGTCATCAAAAACTATATAAATTAAAAGAAAAAGAAAAACAATGATAATAATCAATGATAATTATCCTTGCTCTTTTATTAACATTATGAATACTTCTAAATTGAATTTATATATTAAACATGTAAATCTATATTCTGGTTTTTTCTTATGATATTATGAAGACTTTTAAATTTTATTTAAAATAAATTAAAGGTTGAAGCTTTGATTACTTTGAGCTCTTATATTTATCATCAAAATTTATTTAAATTAAATAAACAATTTAAATCAAATAAACATCAGCCTGCTCAGTCCCTGTTTATTTATAAATATAAAGTAAATAATAGTATAATTATAAATAAAAAGTTTATAAAGTATTCTATTTATTATTTTATTTAAAGCTCACTCTACAGAGTTGTTAGATTACTATGGAAACTTTTATCATAGATAGTTAATATTTGATTTCAGATGATGCAGATTTATCCATTACAGAGACAGAAGAAGAAGAATGAATACTAAGATTTCAGAGTGTAAAAGATTAATAGAAGCTAATGAAAATATTATGTAGTGTAAAGTTAAAAATAATCAAAAAAAAAAAAAAAATACTTAAAAGTGTGTAAAAAAGAAGTTAGAGAGAAATCTATCATTTGTACTTTTTTTTAGCAGCAGGTTCACAACAGTTGTAGTGGAATACAAAATGGTCTTAACTTGGGTTTTTTTTAGTTTAGAAATTGTTCGTTTAATGAATACAGAGAAGTAAAAAAAAGATATTGAAATAAATAGCAATAAAAAAATAAAGTGTGTTTGTAAGATTTTTTGTGTTGTAGATACAACTAGATCAGCTAAGAGTGTTTATTTAAAGAAAGAGTGATCAAGTGCAAAAGATAAATTTACTCTAGTAATGTTCAGAGATTTTTATCCACTTCTATTAACAAAAACTATTGCATTAAAAATAAAATATACAGCACATGAAAAGATGCTATATAACATTAATATGGTTTGCACACAGAAAAAGTAGAACTAGAAGTAGGAAAATTTGGGGAGTATGTTTCAAAAAAGCTTAAGTTTAAAAAAAAACGCTCGGTGCGGTCAAGTATCAGAAACGACATAATGAGAAACTTTCAAACAGGGGCGCTGAGAGCTTTTGCCCTGCCTGGGACAGCAACCCTGACTGGTGTCCTCATTTTTATACGATTTTTCCATATTATTAGTCAAGGACCTTAGTTTTGGTACCTTTTTTGTTTTACACCCTTGCTGATCTGAATGCTGATTAAATTTTAAGCATATATAGTGCTGAAGCTTCGGCTTCAGCAAAGTTGCTTCGGCCGAAGCTTCAGCTTCAGCAAAATTTTAGCTTCGGTACATCCCTACTTTAAACAAAAAAAAACAAAGAAAATTTTATGACATAAAATTTTAAAACAAGGCCTGATATAGCATATACATGTTGTTTGCTTATATACATAATATTATATGCTTACGTACATGTGCAAAATTTAAAATAATAACTGTGAATGTATTCTTTACTGTGAACTAACATTTACTTTAAAATATATTCTATATTTAAAATATTTTATATATATGCTGTAAAAAAGTATTCAGATGTAACTACCAGCCTGTATTTGATGGGTCTTAAAAAATCAACCTGAATCTTTTAAGAGACAAAGTTTGACAGATTTCAAACAAAGTTTCTTATATAAAAATTTTTTCATTTAGTTGAAAAGTTGTTTTTTTAATTCCAGAATATTTTTGGGAATGTTTTGTTAAACTCATATAGTCTCTGTCTAATTTTGATTTTTTTTAAATTATTGTTGATAATATTTTTAAAATAATATTAGCACTCCATTAAACTAAACCTTAAACACAAATTGGTCTGGTAGCAAATTTAAGATGGGCTGGTAGCAAACCTAAAAATATGTTTTAAAAGCCTTTAAATGCATAGACTCAAAAACTGCTTTTTTTTTAAAAAAATTTTATCACATATTCATTACTTCAATAAACAAATCAAATAAATGAGCACATGGCATACATGTATCTGTATGTATAGTATGTATGTATGTTTATAGAAATTTTATATATAAAGAGTTTGAAAATGTTGAACTAATTATTACAAAAACAATATTTAATTTAGGCTTTCGAAAATTGTGCTTTAGGAGACTGTGTTAATCGCTGGTTTGATAAAAAGACCTGTATAATAACTGCTACTGGTATCTTTGGAATGAATAATGATGTAACTTTCTTGAGTTTTAAAAATAAATTTTTGTATTTTTCCAATGAAATCAAGGATTATTTATCCATTCAAAAGTAATAATAAATCCTTTTAAGGTTAATTATACATCTATTAAAGGTTAATAATACATTCATTCATGGGTTATAATACATCCATTTAAAAGTAATAAAATATCCATACAAGGTTAATTATGCATCTATTAAAGGTTAATAATACATTCATTCATTCATGGGTAATAAATTATTCATTCATGGGTTATAATACATATATTTAACTATTGAATGTAATAGTATAACTATTCAAGGCTAATAATATATTAATTCATGGATAGTAATTTATCTATTCAAGGCTTTATTAAATTTTAATCTAAATTTAATTAACTTCCATTTAAGGCTAATAATACATCCATTCAGGGTAGTTGTGCATCAAGTTAATGTTATTAGGTCCTTGGTTTCCTTTCAATTATTCTTTGCTTATTTGAAAAATTTTTTTAATAATATATATTCATTAAGTGTTTTAAATGTCTTTTTTTTATATATATATATATATATATATATATATATATATATATATATATATATATATATATATATATATATATATATATATATATATATATATATATAAATATATATATATATATATAAATATATATAAATATATATATATATGTTGGTATATATGTTGGTATATATGTTAGTATATATATATATATATATATATATATATATATATATATATATATATATATATATATATATATATATATATATGTTGGTATATATGTTAGTATATATATATATATATATATATATATATATATATATATATATATATATATATATATATATATATATATATATATATATGTTAGTATATATCTATATATATATATATATATATATATATATATATATATATATATATATATATATATATATATATATATATATATATATATATATATATATATATATATATATATATATATATATATATATATATTATATATATATATATATATATATATATATATATATATATATATAATATATATATATATATATATATATATATAATATATATATATATATATATATATATATATATATATATATATATATATATATATATAATATATATATATATATATAAATGCTAAATTAATGTTAATTGTAAACCTGATAAAGAGTCGGACATAAAGTACATGACACAATTTTTGATAATTTTAAAGCCCTCCCTATTAAAAAACCATAATTCTTCACTGATTACCTTTCCTCCAAAAAAAATGACACAAAAACATCCTCTTTTCTTAGAGGAGGTTACAAATAATCTCAGGAGACATTTGTTTCAAATATATAATTTTAGTATCCATATAACTAACAATACTGTGAAGCATTGTGGGTATCACTATGTTACACAAAAAGGCAGTTACGAGTTCAAAGCGTGGAAAATGTTTTTATTCTTTTAACATTTTATGTTTTATTTTGAAATATATGCTTTATGAATTCAAAATCAAATTCATTTTGATGTAACTCTTTACATTATCTAGCTCACTTTGATGTGAAAAATTAAGCTGAAAAGTCATTATAGGTAGAGAAAGAAAAGGTTGAAAATTTGTTAGTGGTAGAGAAACTTTCTTTGTGTCTTCGCTACTGTTACTTGCTGACTCTTGAGATGGAACATTTAAAAATCACAATAATTTAGACGCAAGGCTGATATTTTTTTTTATGCCTAAATTATGACTCTTGAGATAAAACATTCATGGCATCTTTTTTATGAAAGAATGAAAAAAGCACATTAATAATTAGGGCTCAATTTAATTTTTTTATAAAGTCCCGGATAAAATGTCCGATCAAAACTTGTATAGGTCAGACAGTCCAATCAAATTTTTAAAAATATAATTTTTACGGTTTTAAGGAACTGAGTTATGCAATCGAAATATTTGTCATCTTATTCAGTTCATTAACTTTTAGTCTTGCGAAGTTGTAGTTTCTTTTCTTATCATTTAGAATATTTCATCACAGATTTTTGTTTTTTAATAAAGTAGTTTCAATTTAATATTGTATGATCTTTTAGTTAAACTTAAATTTTCAGGCTGTAACTGACAACTCTTACTATTTTTTACTTTATAATTTGACAATGTCTGTATTTAAAATGAATTTGACGACGTTTTAACAATTTAAACGTAATAAAAAAATAGTTAAGTTGCAAATAACTTTTAATCATTGATCTTTTTTTAAGTTTTATTTTACACTTCAAATAAAATCAAAAGTTAATTATAATGATCATTTAAAATAAACACATTATGTGTAAATTTTTTTAGTAGACATATTTTTATAATAAATTTAAAAGTTTAAAATTATTTTTCCATGTCTTTCTGAATATCTTTTAAAATAATTTTTTTTTTAAGTTAACTTTAAACTTTTAAGTTAAATAATTTAAATTAAGTTAAATTAAAAGTTTAAGTTAACTTTAAAATCAGTTAAATTGAAACTTCTCATGATTTAATTGCCTTTTTTTTTTATAAAATTTTACAAAGGATTATTTAAAAGTGTTTTTTTTTAAACTTGACTTACTAATTAAAGCATGAAATGAATATTTCTATTTTTTTTTAAAAACAATATTTAAAATTTTTTTTTTGCAACTTTTATAATTAAAAGTTGATACAACTTGAAAATATTATATTTTTTTCTTTTCAATAATATAATTTCACTTTTTAATAAAATTTGTTCATTTATTAAACAATCAATAGAAGTAATTTGTAAAAGCATTTTGTGTAATTTTAATTAAACGTTTTAAAACGAATCATCAAATATCTGATCATCAAATATCTGAAAAAAAAATAAAAATTCTGAAATGAATTATCAAATATCATAAATCATCAAAACATTTAAACAGCCGTGGTTAAGTTGTAAACAAAAAAAATCATTTGTGTGGTCAGCAATAGCGTTCAATCGCACGCCAGCTTTATTTTGTAAAATTTAATTCCCGTCGGTCAAAATGTTCTATTACTTTATAAATTGATCCAACAATCTGAGGTTTTAGCCAGACAATGTCCAATGTCTGACTGTTAAATTGACCCCTGTATATATATATATATATATATATATATATATATATATATATATATATATATATATATATATATATATAATATTTGTGGTTTCATTTTGTATAAATTTTCTAGAGATATATGAATTTATTTTATGGGTACTTTTACAATAAGTCTCAGCAGTTTAGAAAAAATTTTAATATATAGAGGAGGTATGAGGTTTATTTATAGAGGAGGTATGACCATATAAAATATTTCAAAAATACCACAAAAAGATTTTTGTAATCTGATATATATAAATAAAATATTTTAGATACCAAAGCACAACTAATAAAACTGTATTACGATTACAGATTTCTTTTGCTAAGTATTGATTTTTCAAACATTCCTTCAGTTATAATTTCATAACTGAAAAAAGCAGAGATTTTTTTTATTAATACTGACCAGCATATCAGGTGTTTTATTATGTAATAGTAAAATGCTTGTTAATTTATAATTCAATTTTGAATTGACTCAGTTTAAGTCCAAAATAAGTTCATATGGCAAAACTGTGGAAGTAGAATCTTAAGTAATGATTGAGTCATAGAAATCTTACTGTCATAAAATTCTCATTGAGGACTTTTTGTAAAGATTTTTGCTGGTTATAGGAAAATATAATTTTTAATAATTAAATAACTTTGTGGACTGGGTTCCAAAAACTCTATTTTTGGCATTTTCGACAACTTATTGCTTTTTAATGAATATTTAAACTTGGTTATTTTTTTAAATGGCAACTAAAAAAGCATTTTATCTTTTGCATAAAGAAATGAAAATTCAACAATTTAAATACAATAAAAAAATCGTTACGTTACGAATAACTTAATTAATGATCTATTTTTTAGTTTTTATTATACGCGAAGGTTTTAAATAAAATCAAAAATTAACTATAATGGTTGTTTAAAATAAACACATGTGTATACACAAAAATTTAATATAACATTTTAATTTATAAATTAAATGTTATATTAAATTTTTTTAGTAGGTATGCATTTTTTATGATAATTTTAGACGTTTGAAACTATTTTTCCCTTTCTAAAAATCTTTTTAAAGATTATTTTTTTAAGTTACTTTAAGTTATGAATAAGTTAAATTAAATCTTCCCATGATTATATCATGGGAAGATTTGCTTTATTATTTTTTGTTTCTATTTTTACAAAGAATTGCTTAAATTTTTTTTTATTTAAACTTGACTTACTAATCAAATCATGAAATTATTCAAAATAACAATTTCAAAAAGATTTATTTTTTTGAAAAACTTTTAATTAAAATTACACAAAAAGGTTTTACAAATTACTTTTATTGATTGTTTAATAAATGAACAAATTTTATTGAAAAGTGAAATAAAATTATTGAAAAGAAAAAAGTATAATATTTTTAAGTAGTATGAACTTTTTATTGTAAAAGTTGCAAAAAAAAAAAAAAAGAATGTTTTAAATAACATAGTCTTTTTAAAATAGTAATTTTTATTCATTTCATGCTTTAATAAGTAAGTTTGAAAAAAAAACACTTTTAAATAATCCTTTGTAAAAATAAAAACAAAACAAAAAAAAGCAATTAAATCATGGGAAGTTTTAATTTAACTTATTTCATAATTTAAAGTTAACTTAAAAAAAAATTCAGAAAAACAATATTTTTTTAAACAGTTTTTTTAAAAAAAAAAAACTTAAGAAACTTAAAAAAAAAATTAAGAAAAACGTTATTTTTTAAACAGTTTTTTTTTTGCACCTTTTTGTTCATTTTTTTTTTTTTTTCTTTTCATTTATTTAATTTCACTTTTCAATAATTTTAATAAAATTAGCTCATTTATTAAACAATCAAAGGAAGTAAGGGCCCATTTATAAAGGACGTTATGCTAATAATCAAGGGAGGGGGTAAAAAAAAAAAGGATAAATAACAACATGGTGGAGGGGGTCATCAGAAAAAAATGTTAAAATTTTTTTTTATTTTTGATTCAAAAACATGGATTATAGAAGGCCTAATTATAATTAAGCTTCAAATCGTTGGATGAGGTTGGTGCCTCATCCAGCGCTTTTCTCCCTCATGATCATTATGGAACTTATCTAGATTCTTAAGGAATTCAAATTCATTTTTAATATCAACTCTTTTTCAAAATACAATATATTTAGCAAGACTTAGGGAACTAATTATCTGCATTGTGACATATATTTAAAGTAGGACAGTGGATCTTCTTTTGGAGAAAACAGACTTGATTTTGCTGGAAAGATCGGTCACACACACATATATATATACATACAAATTTATTTATATATATATACATATATATATATATATATATATATATATATATATATATATATATATATATATATATATATATATATATAAACATATATATATATATATATGTATATATATGTATATATATATATCTATATATATATATACATATATATACATATACAAACATATATATATATATATATATATATATATATATATATATATATATATATATATATATATATATATATATATATATATATATATATACTCATATAGTGTCGCTTTAAGAGCATTTTAATGTAAAAAAAGTCTCTTACGACTACAATTTTAATTACCTCGTCTCTTAAGCTGTTTTTGATTGTCATCGAAATGTCAAAGCAATTAATTTATGCGGAAGTACATTAAATTTAATTGTTTTTTAAAAAATTTTTAAAAAACCGCAATTATAACGACTAGAAAGTTTTTTTTAATTAGTGGTGTTTTTGTTATTGATTTAATAAAAAACATTTTTTAAACATGCGTAAATGTTGCTACATCGACTATCTTATAGCCTGACTCGCAACGGAGTGCTGCTACATCGACTGACAAATAGCCTGACTCGCAACAGAATGCTGCTACATCGACTGACAAATAGCCTGACTCGCAACGGAGTGCTGCTACATCGACTGACAAATAGCCTGACTCGCAAGGGAGTGCTGCTACAACGACTGACAAATAGCCTGACTCGCAAGAGAGTGCTGCTACATCGACTGAGGGTTTGGTTTGGCCAGGCAGTCTATCAATTAAAAAAAAAAAATTAATTTTTAAAACTTTTTCTGGTCTGGTTTATTAACGCGCTCTTTAAAACTACAGTTTATGGGAAATATTTTTTGATGCTACGCAAGAGACATGCAAGACTATATATATATATATATATATTCACACAAAAACAAACAAGGAAGTTTTTTTTTTCTTATTAAACATATATTTAATGTACAATTATTAAGTATAGTTGTATTTAGTACAACGGTTGTTGGAATGATAGGTATAATAAGTTGTTAATACTTTTTTAGCACCTTTATATCGATGGTTTTGTTGCTATACAAGTATACCAAAATATATATTTAAAATGTATAGAGCAAAAGTTTCAATGGAAAGTAAGTGCATAGTTTTGATATAATTTAAAAACTTTGATAAAAACTTAATCTAAATAATGTTACATACATTTTAGAATGGGAAATTGCGAAATGATATAGAAGTACCTTATGAACTTCAGTTTGTTGTTGATAATCATATTCTTTCACTTGTTAAGGAAGCACAAGTAAAACATAGAAACCTGGTGACTAGATGGACTTTATGTTTGTATTTACAACTTGTGTAAACTTATTTTTCCCATTAGTTTGCTACTGCCATTAATAATTGCTAAATGGGTTTATTTTATTTTTTTTAATTTTTATTAATTTATTTGGAAATCTAAAAGTAGTTGTATTTACCTATGTAGATGGCATCGTTCTTAGTTATTAACAGACCAATCAGAGGGTATGGTAAATCATTATGCAAATTGTTGAAGATTAACCCTGATCATTTGGTTCAGATTGCAATACAACTTGGTTATTACAGGTTGCATAAAAAGTAAGAGAGTATTTTAGTGTTGTGTTTATTATTATTATTATTATAGATTAGTTGTATCTTTATTTCCAATAATATTTATAAAGATGTTGTGCTACCTACGAGTCAGCTAGTACAAGGAAGTTTTATAGTGGAAGAACAGGCACTGTCAGGTCATGCACCAACGAAACATTGGCATTTGCACGTTCTATGATGGATCCCTCTAAAACTGTATGAGTTTAAGCTTTAAAATGTTTGACAGTAACTGTAATGATAAAATGTTTGACAATAACTGTATTGTAAATGTGATGTTTTGTTAATGTAGTTTTAAATTTTTAACTCAATTTGAACACAATGTTATAATACAATTTGTAATATTTGATAGACATTGTATGAAAAAAATGATAACTTTGCAACTTCTCCAATGCTTGTCGCACTATGTACAGATTTGTATTTTAGTTGTAGTTTTTATGAAAATAGATGAAAAAATCAAAAATATGGGGTGAGCAAAAACACTTTTGAAATTTAGATTGAAAATTTTCTAATCCAGTAAAAAAAATTGTAAATTTTTATTATTTTTTTATTATTTAGGTGCTCCAAGAAGACCTAACGGTCTTGTCACAGAGCACCGCGGAAGTGCAGTGTAGTTTGAAGTGTTTAAAAATATAATTACTATATAATTGAATTTTCATTTACATTGTTATATACAGGCTTTGTTAAGAAGTCTGTTTGAATTTTACTTATGAATGGCGATTTTACTATTCGTTAAGTCATTTATGTTACGCAAAAACTTTCTTCAATTTAGTCTTCTGAAAATTCAACTTTTGAAACAGTTTATGTGGAAAACATTAGGCAGTGTGACCATTTTAGTGTAACCATTCAGCAAATTTTATATGCCAAAGTTTTTAAATAACATTAGGCAGTGTATAAAACATTTTCACCACAATTGTGAAAAGATTTTTTTTTGATAAAAAAAAAAGATATTTAAATAAATTTTTTTCTACTTTCTGTTTTTAAAGAATATTTTAATTTATTTTATTATATGTTAAATAAATTTGCTATTAAATATTAAATTTAATTTTATTTAATTAGATTTAATTTAAATTTTAAAATAACTTAAAACCTTTTACATTTTTTTTTACTTTTAAAATGAAAATGTTTTGAGAAACATTTAGTAAAAGTTATTACAGTTACTAAGAGGTTAACTAAACTTTTGAAATAAGGAAATTTTTTTCTAATATACCTCTCCATCTTTTCTGTTATACCCCCTCTCTCTCAACCCTGTAAACAAAGTTAAATTTGGTATTAAATAGAGATGTATTGGAATTTAAACTTATTTTTAGTTCTTTTTGTTAGGGGCAGGAGTCTTCCAAAAAATGCATCTAAATTTGTTTTGTTTTTTTATATTGAATTAGTTTTTTGACTAATATTTCTTTTTGTTTTCTTATTTGTATATATTATATGTATTGCATATTTGGGTTTTGCCGAAAAAAACTTTTTTTTTTTGTATGTGTCTTTTCCCAATTCTCTTGTTTTCTGATTTCATATGTAACAGTAAAAAAAGTTTTCTGACCTCAATTTCAGCAATATGTAAAATATCAAATTTACAATTTTTTAGATGCAAACCCCATTTTAGATGCAAAATTTTACATTTTTTCTGTCTATTTTCCTACAAGGGTTTGGAAAACCAATATTTTTAGGCTGGTTAGAAATCAGATGATCTGGTCGGTTTGTTACAGACTATTCATAGAACCCATATTCACAGTGAGGATTGATGTTATTGACTAATTAAACAACCTAAGGTTGTTTAATTATAGTTATATTAACAAAATAATAGACAGCTAACATAAAGGTCCTTTGGACCTTGATGTTAGCTGAACAGTTTAAACAAAATAATAGACTTTGTAATAATATATATAATATTTTATATAAGACTTTATAATAATATAATATAATAATATAATTAATTTTAGAATTTACATTATTTTGATAAATACTTGCATCTTTATTAAGGAAATGTCTAATATTGTGATTTTTAACAAAAAATGGAATTTAACATACTGTTGAAATTTAAGTCAGTAAATGTTATTTTATATATATTTGCAATCAGGGGAAGTTATGGAATAAACTGCATGCATACTCAAATTTTAAAAAATTAAATTTTGGGACATCCTATTTAACATTTCTTGTACATGTTCCAAGTTAAATCCCCACCATGTTCTTGCTAGTACGTGCTCAACTTGTTTATTCATTCAGCGGCTTTGTTCATCAAGGTTCCTATTTCAGAGTTATAGAGTTAAGAGAGGGTTTTTAGCACAATTAAAATAGTCTCCTAGACTGTAGTGGTCTTCAGGTCCTTGGGGAGGTGACTTAACATTTAAAAAAAAGTTATACATTTTTTTGTGTATGTTGTATATTTCTTTTATATTTTTCTCTATTTATTTTGTATTTATTTCTAATTATACTTTTATTTGTCTAAATCAAATAAAATAAAGCAACTAATTTGGTTATTCAATTGAATCTTTTAATTATTAAAATTTAATTTTAAATAACCAGTGCTTAAACACTTTGTGTGCAACATTTTATGTAAACAATGAAATCTTTTTTTTTTTGACTGAATAGATTTTTTTTTTTTAAGAAAGAAAATTGCAAGCAACTGTTGATAAATGCTATAAAAGCTCATTCTTCTCTTATGAAAGATGCCATGGATGGACAAGGTATGTTAATTATATCTGCATTACTTCGAAATTTAAAAAATTAAAAACACTTAACTTGCAAGTTTGAACAAAAAAAATCTGGTTTTAAATACTGTAAACAATTTTTTTTCAATACCTTCACTTCCAAACATGGCTGCAAGCAATCAATACTAGAGTTGGAAGTTACTAGAAGAGAAAAGATGAAGTTTATAGAACAACATAACAGACTTAAAAGATTGCAAATTATATGAATCAGGAAACTAATCAAAGAAAAAAACTAAACAAATAAGAATTTTTAGAGCACTTAAAAACAGTCACAGTTTGATTCAATTCAATTATGGTTCAAAGGATGAATCATAATTGAATGACAAGTAACACAAGAATGAATTTACCTTTTTGGTGCAGCACCCATTATAGTATTTACAGAAAAGAGAAGCAACATGATGATGGCTGGAAGTTGACTGCAAGAACAGGTCCAACTATGTTCACAATTTATTTTTGCACCTTGTCTCAATGAGAAAGGGCATCATTGGAAGATCCACTCCAGATATGGCAACAGTATTCCATACAAAAACGAATTTGAGATTTATAAAGATAAAGAATAGAATCCTAAGTAAGAAAAAGATGTGCACGATAAAGAGATACAATCTTAGCAGATGTTAATTTTGCAATCGATTTGATATATGGTTTCCAAGAATGATCGGAAGTAAGAGTTACTCCTCATCTCTCATGAGTAGATTACCATTTATAAATATAGGAAGATCTAGATTATTGCGATAGCAATTAGCTGAAAAAATTTGAGTTTATCTGAGTTTACCAGCTACTGAGATTTACCAGCTACTTAGCTTACCTGAGCTTATTATAGTGGAAGAGTCCAATCACTCTCCAGAATTTTCAAAAATAGGGATGACAGATGCTTCTTTCCAGTAAGATAGAAAACAAGACTTGAATAAACATTTGTTAAATAGTTTTAAAAGAATAAGTAACAACTCTGAAGAACACTTCTGCCTATAAGACTATAACAGGTGTTGTCAACAAACTGTAGAAGAATCTAAGCAAGAAATCACTTTAGATAGAGAAGCTGGAGTGATACGAATGTTAAGCAATGGATCAACCTGTTTGTCGGCTATATCAGTTAAAACGTAACAAGTGTAACTAAGAGATGATATTGATGAGTAGTTCTTAGCATACAAGTCAGCTTTGTCTTAAGGTGAGGTGACAAAATCTGAACCATACAAAAGAGGTGGAATAAAAGATTTATCCTTATTATAGATACTGTTAAAGATTCTCCAGAAGTCATAAGAGCCTAATTTTTGACATAAAAGACAAGAATTTGGATCTAAGAATAGCGGGCTTTGGCATCAGACAAAACTTTTTTACAATGCTTTCTAGCAACAGTAAACAGACATCTGTGGAATTGTTTTGGGGATAGGTATGGAAATAATGGTTGCTATTGGAATTTGCAGCAGCATAATGAGAGGAAAACTATGGATGAGGCTTGACTTGAATTGTGGAGAATGAATAAAAGATCTATGCCAACTTTAATCCAAGAAATTATGTAAGAAGCACATTTGTCAGTAAAAAGAAAAAAAAATTCTACCAAGGGCCATTGTGAAAAAAATCACTGAAAGACTCCCAGTCCGCTTTAAGGCAGTTGATGAGGTACAATGATAGGAGGATTCTGATGGTGAAGAAGAATGAGATAATAGTGTTAGAAGATCAAACCGGGATCAGAAGCATCTAAAGGTGAATTTTGAGAAACTGAGCACTGACTAGTATTAAAAACAAGACATTAGTCAAGTAGAGAAGGTAAATGATTCGGATTGCCTGGAAAGCGAGTTGGAAAGTTGACTATTTGTGTTAGAGATTGAGAAAGGCAAAAGTTGTGGGCCTTGATAACTTTATTGATTTCTTAATTTTTTCTATGCAAAATAGTTAATCTGAAAGGTCTTAGTAAACAATTTAAAAGTTGTGGGCCATTAAAAAAATTAAAATATAAATTATAATATATATATATATATATATATATATATATATATATATATATAATATATATATATATATATATATATATATATATATATATATATGTGTGTGTGTGTGTGTATATATATATATATATATATATATATATATATATATATATATATATATATATCAGGGGCGGATCTAGGGTATGTCTAGTACGTCTGTAGACATACCCAAAAATAAAAATAAATCTAAAAACAAAAAAGTTTATATATTATTTTAATATTGCGTATAAAAATAATTTTTTTAAGTTTAACCGTTAAGTGAATAAAATTTAAGTTTTATTACCTTTATACAAACAGTTATTTAAAAAAAAAAAAAATTTTTGCTTCTTGTTTAGATTAACTAAAGTTAGAGTAGTAAATAAAAAAATCTTTTTTAACTGGAGGTTAAAGTAATAATAAATAAATAATATTTAATTAGAAGAGTCAATGGACCTACCCAATATTATTTTGTTAAACGATAAAAAATATTTTTAAATTTTTATTTTTTTTGATTAGTTTTCAATATTTAAATTTTAAGTAATCGATTTTATTTATGAAAAAACACTGTCGGACGTACCTTTCTACTTTCACCCTGAAATATTTAACGTTTATTGTGATATTTAAAATGCTTCGATTATATGATATACGAAGTTTTCTTAATAAATCGTGTTTGCAACATGTCCGTGTTTATGCTGGTGATAAAATTCTTCAAGATCAGCTTAGATATTATCAACAAAAAACGCTTCTTACATATCTAAGACACCATAATATCTGGTAAAAAAAGTGTTTCAGAGAAGTTAATAACAAAATAGTTTAAACATTTTAAACATTTTTCTGATGAAGCTTCTCACAATAAAAGTAAAGAACAACTACTTTTAATTATATGGTTTGTTGGTTCAAAGTTCAATAAGAGAATTTATCAGTTTTTTAGATTGCACAAATGGTGTTACTAGTACGGAATATTTTATTTTTTGGTAAAAAATATTTCTGATTCCTTTGTATATATATATTAGGTACCATAAAAAGAAGCTTTAAATATTTAGATGTAAACATGGTAAAAATGCTCTATACAACGTTCATACATCCACATCTTGAGTTTGCGGTCCAGGCATGGTCTCCATTTTTAAAACAAGACATTGACAAGATTGAGAAAATCCAAAAAAGAGCAACCAAACTAGCACCTACAATTAGGAAATTATCATATGAGGCTAGGTTGAATATTATGCAATTAACGTCACTGGAAGAACGTAGACTACGTGGAGATCTGATTCAACAATATCAAATTCAGCATGGCCACGATAAAATAAATTGGGTTGCTAACGATTGTGGAAATGCATTGGAGGAGGGTCGATGTCTGCGACAACACAAATTCGAAATGAGGAAGCCTTTTAGCAGAAATACCTTCAGGTATCATTTTTTCGAAAATCGAGTTGTAAATGCATGGAACAGCTTACCATCTTAAATAATAGAAGCTACTTCAATAAATAACTTCAAAAACAAACTAGACAGAGCTGGATTTTGCAGAAACTATTTGTTAAAACACAAACAAAAGACAAAATGAGCTGTTACAGTGCAATATCTTATGTTATTGCACTTCGCAACTGTTTAAAACAGTTGTTACAGTTATACCTTATTATATTATATATATATATCATGAATTGTGATATGGTGGTGCTAAAGCAATTGGTGGTCACACTAAAGATTTGTCCTCTTGTATTTTAAATCTAAATGAAAAAGCTGCATATGCTCATTGCAACAGTCATAGGCTTAATTTAGTTATTTGTGCCTCATACAAAGTGCAATATGTCAAGTATCTTTTTAGCACTATGTCATGTTTTGCAATATGGCAAGTATCGTTTTTGGCACACTATAATGAGGTATCATACTTTTTAAACTTGCACATACCAGGTAACAAATTTTAGCGGAGCATATTGAAAGTACCGTCCCATATTGAACATGTTGGGTGGAAAAGATTTCCTTTTTTTTTGGATAGTTCTTAAGAACATAGTATTAGTTTCTACAAAAATGATTTTAGAAGTTCAATTATATCTTTTAGTGAATTTTATGAACAGATCTACTGAATTCCCATGCTTTAATCTTGTGAGCTTCATTTATGTGAAGCATTTTAGTTAAATTTAAAAAGGTAGTTTCAATATTAATGTTACTGAGCTGTTAAAAGTGATAAATTTTCCTGGTTGTAAAAACATTAAAAGTTTACATGCTACTTTTCCACTAACTTCATGTGAATGTGAGTGGATATATTATTCATTTTGGTGCCTGAAATATATATGTTAAGCACCCTGGTATAGTGCCAAACAATAATAACACCGATTTGGTGTTATCATTTTTATATATAAAATGCTAAGTTGTATTTGTTATAATTGGCAAATGCTTTTGTTTTTTAATTGATTTTTTTTTTAGTTTTTATGTTTTAATCAGCAAGATTTATTATAATGAATGTTATAATTTTTTTTTTTTTTTTTCAAATGTGGCATTAAGAATGAATCTCTAAATACTACTTTTTATAATTTAAAATTGCATATTTAATATACAATATTTTATTATAAATTGTGCTATTTTATAATATATTTGTTAAAATAGAAATATAAAATTTTGCATTGTGTAATTTATTTTATTAATGGTAATGTAAAAATATAGTTTTTAATAATAGATCTGTAAATAATGTGTAAATATATCTAATTTTATAATCTAAAAGTAAAGTGCCCCGGTGATAGCCTTGCATATTTTTAATTGAAGAAAGGCTCTTATTAGATTAACTTAATAGACCTCTTTTAATTATTAGACCTTGGTTAATCTTAATAGATTAACTGAAGATGGTCTTCCATGTATTTTTTTGCTTTTCAACTAACGACTAGAGACACCAAAAAAAAAAAAAAGGTCCTCAATATTTCCAATATGCCAACTATAGTTCCCCCACCCCCACCCCCCCCACCCCCACCCCCACACATCCTTCGGGACGTCCCTGAGGAGGGGGGTTAAAAAATTTTC